CATTCCCACCTGATTTTAGAATTGAGGATTTTAATAGTAGGGTTTCGTGTAATTTCCACTAATTACTATTTCCCCCCTATAATTTATTGGTCTTGAGGTTATTGTGGGCTGGTAATTAATTACAAGCATGAGACGTGGTTTAATTCCAGAATGGGCCAAGGTGGGGTGAGTTAATTTAACAAGGTGGGAGAAAGCCCAAAGAACTCATAAACAAAGAGGGCCTGATGAAAGGTGTGAAATTATTGTATCTGGACCAGTCAGGAGTACAAGCCCAAAAAACGAAGAAGCCTACTACATTGCCTGACCGACCCCCTCGCAGGGGGGTGACATTTTTTTATTTCACTTCTATGGATAAAGCCGTTTGAGCAAGACCACGTCCCACTTTTATTGCGCATGGGGTCGATGTCAAACCCTTATGGCAAACAAGTTTAATTTTAAAAAGACTTCATTGCTTTTATCCGGGAAAAAAGATACTATTTCTTTGAAAGTGTCAACTTCATTTGCAGTATTTTTTTTTTTCCTGCGTCTTCTCACATATTTTTTCAATATTATTAATTAATTAAAGTATTAGAAATTGAGATCAAAATGACTACAGCAATGGGATTGCCCCTTCTTTTTTTTTTTTTAATTAAACGTTGGTTACATAACTTTGTGTTATTTGTACAAATAATCATTTTATGGGTGAGCTATTGGAGTAGTCGGTCTCGCCTTGAACCTACATGCCTATGACTTCGTTTCTCAAGAAGTTAATGCATAGTATATGCAAGGATTCTTCAACCATTATTATTGTATTACAGAGACGAGATGTCGAAAGATAGAGATAGAATCGAAAGTTTATTTAAAATGAATCATGAACACCCTAAAAGAGAAGAATAATAGACATGAAGTGCATTGCCTCTATTTATGTATCTTTATTTTTTATTATATTAAATAACTAAAATGTTATTTCTTTAAACCACGATAATGTCTCCAATAGTCATCTTATAATTAACTTGAAAAATGAATCTTGCACTATATTCGAATAGATAAATTCTTATCTACTTGTTTCCAATACGATGAGGGCTCCTATCAATCTTCAAAACGTGAAGAATAAATTCTAAAGGATTTTTTCCTGGATATGCGTCTTGCTTCTTGACTTGATATATCAAGAAGACCACAACTTATAGTTTTCATCATCATATAAATAAAGAGACATATTCATCTATGAGAACAAGAGAAAAACTTAAAATTGAATTTTTCAAGAAACAGTCTTTATTCAAAAAAAAAAATTAAATCAAATTGGGTTGCTAATGAACTTCTTGTGGTCGAATAACTTGATAGAAATAAACTAGGGGCTTGTCTAGAGCCAATTTTTTTACTGTTGCTTTTGAAGGTGGGGCCCGCATGTTAGAGATAAAAGTCAACAAAACAAGGCTGGATTGATGAAAAATAGTCAGAAAATCAATTTTTTCCTCCATTAAAATCAGCTCCAGACACGCCCTAGGTCTTTTGATCTAAAGGTATCGATAGCCAATATCTTCTCGAATAAATGAATTAATATATACATTATAATAAATTATTCATGTGTTCGGATAACTTGATGGAATTGAATTAGGTCTTGTGATCGAAACATGTCAATAATAAATCAATAAATTAATATATGTTTTATACTTTTTTCGAATCAATGAATCAATATAAAAATTCCCAAATTATAAACAAAAAAGTTGGTCAAGCACTCAAACTCCGTAA